TCCGGCTTGCGAATAAGGAATAAGAGTTTACTCCTTTAAACTTCCTGAAGCAGAAAGGATGAACTCCTTATTCAGTTTTGCATGAATTTCATGTTCAATTTTGAACTGAAATTAGGAATCCAGTTTTGGAAACAACTTTGAAGTTTTCCTGGCATGAGAGTTATGGGGGAGGAGGGCAGGTCTTCGGGCATAGCTGCTGCTTCTTCTGGAAATGACTTAGCCATTCTTGCTGGTAATCTTGAAGAGCCTCCTGCATTTTCTTCTGAGCAAGCTGAAAGGGATGGATTTTTGGAGCATCTGGGTTCTCTGTCTGTGCAGAGCAGACAGGAAGATGACCCAGGCTCCATGGACTCATGCGCCGAAAAGGATTGGTATCGGTCTGGGCTGTCCCCTTTCAAGGGGACGGCTTCTTCGGGGAGTTTTTCTGGAGTTCACGAACAGTCCGCTGCCTCATCTTGGGATGTGGTACTTCCTCCTGCAGCATCTGTGCCTAGGCGCGTGGATAGGGCCGTGGCTGCCGCTTATCAGTCCTTGGAAGGGTCCACTACGAAGCATGTCTGGGAGGATGACTTCTGGGGAAATCTGTTTTCAACGGTGCCAGAGGAGCCCTTCAAGGGTTTCTATGGCACGAGCCTGGAGAGGCCCCTGCAACCAGATCTTCCAGTGGCTGCTGTGGAGCCAGTCGCGGTCAGGCCTAGGCAGGTTGAGATGGCCAGCCTGAGATTCTTTGAGATGTCTGTGGTGAAGAGAAGGGCAGTCACCTGGAAGCAGATGAGGGCGGAGCAGCTCGCAGAAGCGGTGGGTTGCTGGGTCGTCTTCATTGCGAGGTGGGAGGCTGGGGTGCAAGTCAGGGATCAACTATGTGGCCTTCCTTCCGAGGAAGAGCGGAGGGCCATGGTCTCTGACGTCCTTGGGAATAAGGCCCCTACAACTTTGCGGAAGAGACTCAGAAGCCTCTTGAAATATGAAACCTTTTTGGTTAAGGAGTTTAGGTGCTTTCCTGCCGCTGAAATTTTCTTGTATAAGTTCCTTTGCCTTGAAAGAGATGGGGGAGCGAGTATGTCGTCGAGGAAGGCGACTTTTGAGGCCGTAGTCTTCTGTCGCTTCGTTCTCGGCGTGGAGGAGTTGGACTTGACGGTCAAGAGCAGGAGGTGCCTGGGCAATGCATGTCACGGTGAGATCAATCCCAAGTTTCGGGCTTCGCCTTTCACGGTGTCAGAGCTGGGAGTGCTACACGAGAGGTTGGAATCGGCTGCGGACGCTTGGGACAGGGTCTTCTCTGGATCGGTTCTTTTGTGCACTTACTCCAGGGCTCGATGGCCGGACCTCATGCATGCTGAGCGCATCATCTATGACTACGATGCGGCACAAAACCTAGCATATGTTGAATGTCCTGTGGCATACCGCAAGACGATGAGGAGAAGTACGATGAGACACGATCTTCTCCCGATGGTGGCGCCTGGACTAGGAGTCGCTGGCTCGAATTGGGCTAGGCTCTGGAAGCTTGCCCGACAGGAGCTCGGGCTGGGCGACCCGCCTGACTTCCCGATCATGCCGGCACCGGACAAGTCCGGCGCCCCGACAGTTAGGCCGCTCGACACGGAGGAGATGGGCCGCTGGTTGAGATGCATTCTCTTTGGGTCCAGTGCAAAGCAGAGTGAGCGAAAGGTGACTTCGCACAGCTGCAAGTGCACCATGCTTAGCTACGCTGCTAAGTGGGGTGTTTCCGTCGCGGATAGGCAGCGGCAGCTGCTCGGGTATCACAGCACTCCTTACAGGATGGCTCTCACTTACTCGAGGGACGCTGCTGCTCAGCCCTTGATGGTCTTGGAAAGGCTCATCTCCTCTATCAGGGAAGGAAAGTTTCGCCCCGATGAAACCAGGAGCGGCAGATTCTTGGAGAGTGATCAAGATGGTCGCCAGCCCAGTTCCGCTGTGGTTCTTGTGAAGGAGACGAGGATCCCGAGACCGAAGCCCCGAACGGTGGTGACGTTGGGGTCCCAGATGCTGCGGGTGGGACGGCGGAGAATGACTCCGACATCGACGGCCACATCACAACGGATTCTTCCTCCACTTGGCAGGGCGGGCCGCTTA